ACTCTTTCCCTTTGAGGCTCGACATAATATGTCTGGAAGTCTCGGGAACGAGAGGAACTAACGACAACGCGACAAATACAACTCCGTCACATGCCAATTGAACAGAAGGCATCGGTCGAGCCACATAGGGCGCGTCGTCGTCGTTTCAGCAAGCCTAGAGCTTCAGCTTATAACTTCTAATGAATTAACCATCTTACGAACACATCCTCCCGAATTTCTAAACTATTAATGATAATACCTGTGTTGAAACGAGGCGTCTATACCCTAATGCACTAATACTACCGAGTCTTGGAATTGTCTTGGAATTTCGTACGGAACCTCTTGTCACCAGAGAATGGCCACCGCTGCCTCCGCGGCACCCGCGCCGCCACCTCCTACTTCGACCAAGCATCCAAGTCCCTCGATCCCAGTTATACTCCGCGAGGCAGGCCTTGACTCTCCCTCGTTTCGGGCTTCTGCACTGTACTTTGCCGAGCAAGTCGATGCTATCGAGCGGTGGCTAGAGGGCTATGTCAGGACAACCGCCAAGATGTCCCATGACCTCCTTGGTCTAGAGGAAACCATCCAAAACTACCTCAACAAGATCATCCCACCGCCGAATATCAATGCTGTCGATAATGACTACGCCGCACTGGCACTTAAGAGGTTCAGTGAGGGCTCGAGGGAATGGTGGATGCAGGTCTTGAACGCTGCTAAGAAAATGGATACCATGTCCGTCGAGCCGATCCGAAACTTCCTCCAAGGCGATCTACGAAACTTCAAGGAGGCCAGAAGAACATTAGAGCAGACACAGAAGGTTTTCGATACCACACTGGCCCGGTACGTGAGCCAGTCCAAGACGAAAGAACCCTCGTCCTTACGAGAAGACGCGTTTGCCGTGTACGAGACTCGCAAGGCCTATCTGAAAGCCTCTATGGACTTCTGCTTCTTTGCGCCCCAGTTCCGACTCAATCTTGACAAGTTACTCGTGCGTGTGTCTTGCGATCTCTGGCGCGAGATGAAAAGATCTCGGGACGCCGCGGGAAGCTTTGGAAAATATGGCCACGAGATGGATCGGGTACGAGGATGGTCAAAAGAGATGGAGTTATCCGAGCCCACGTTCAAACGTGAGTTGCAGATAGCACGCCGCGATATTGGGGAGAGCACATTGGCGGCGTTCAAGCCTTCGCGGGAGATTGACGACTACAGCGCATCAACTGTTCCATTTTTAGGATCCAGGGGACCCATGAATGTTGCAACATCAGGCCAGTCTGCGGTAATCATGGAGAAGCAGGGCTGGCTATTCTTGCGTACAATAACCGGCAAGCCATCTAGAACCAATTGGATTCGAAGGTGGTACTACTGTCGCGATGGAATTTTTGGTTGGCTTGTCAACGGACCTCAAGGAGTTTTACAAGGTGATGAGATTGGTGTGCTTCTCTGTAATGCAAAGCCCGCTGTTGGAGAAGAACGTCGATTCTGCTTCGAGGTCAAGACTAAGAACCAGACGTTACTACTCCAAGCCGAGACGCAGGCTCAACTGATGGAATGGCTTGAAGTCTTTGAAGTCGCAAAGAAAAGAGCGTTTGAAGCCAGCGTCACTAGGGACAGTTCGTCTTTGCCAGGTGGTGTCGATCCAGCCTTCTCCATTACTCCACCCTCATTACCGGAATTCTCAGCCAAAGCACTGGATACACAGGTCGAGGACGGTGCAAGTGCCGAACGAACGCCAACTCTACCAGTTCCCGGGCCTGAAGGTGGACTAATACCCAGACCAAGTTTTGATATCACAACGGCTCCTCCCAAACGGTCAGTAACATCTCTAGCTCGTGAAGAAGGTGAGACTAGTCGAGAGCACGCAGCGAGGATTATGCAGAAGCTCGATCTCCATCGAAAAGCTACTTTCACTTCAGCTACGGATGGGGGTTCAACACCAACGACTACGCCGGCTGGTGGTATTGCTAGTCTCATATCCGCCAGTCACGGTTTGTTGCCAGGTTATCCTGGGACAACTTCCAAACAGCAGCAGCAACAGGTACCAGCGTTACCAGGACCGGAATCACAGCCAGGCAGTCTTGCGCCTCCAACGTTGGCAAAACCACCAGCAACGACCAATCTTAGTAAGACGGCCGTTGTCTACAGTGGTGACAGAGTATTCAACGCGAATGCTTCGCAACTTTTGCCGACAGCAATTATGGCCAACTATTGGGGAAGCAATCCTTGGGGCCAAGAGTATGCCTCCAAGACTAATCGTAACAACTTAGATCTTGACGATCCGTTTGGGCCTAACTCGCCCTCCATCAAGATGACAGTTGGTGACGGCGAGGAGATCAAAAGCCCATCCTCCACCCATAAAAAGGCTATTAGCATGGATGCTAGGATCAACCACCCAAAGATTGTTCAGCCCGGTCCAGAGAAACCACCACCAGAGACTTTCCCGCCGGATTACCCCGTGGAACTCAAGACGAATTCAGCACAGTTCCGCCTGCTCTTCCCTAGCGTGCCGTTGGATGAGAAGCTAGTTCTGGTCTTCCGGGCTTCATGGACTAGTACTTCGGAGCCTGACCGTGATATCCCCCAGATGGCTGGCAACGGTAGAATCTACGTCACTCCGGATAATATGTACTTTTATGGGCACCAGATGGGCCTTGTCGTGGCGTACACAATTAGTCTCGATGCCATCTCCGAAGTGACGGCTGCTCCCGGGAGGGACTGCGATTTCATTTTCCTACACCTAAATCAGGGGGCAGGTGACATTGGATATACCCGAATTACAATTAAGACCTTCCTCGAAGATCTTGATCTTTTACATGCACGACTAAACCTTCTAGTTGATGACCTGCAGGCTGAAGAGCCCATGGAGCTGTCTGAACTCATCCGAGCGCTCATCAATCTGGAGAAAGAGGAATATGACAGGAAGAGTCCCAGTATGGATAGTTGGGAAGAAATCTCAGAGCATACCCCTATGGACGATGGTACTGCGGCAGGCAGAGCAGTCAGTCCTCGAAACCATGATTACGCCTACAAATCGCGAATCAGAGGCACACGGAAGCCTCTTCCCAAATTTCAACTTCCGACCCATCCAGTGATGTACGAGCCTGAAGACATGCAGAGAAAGGTCGCCGAGCGGAATTTTGAGATCAGCGCCAAAGCGTGCTTCCATGTTCTATTCGGAGACAAGAGTTTCATTTTCCCTAAGCTCTACTTCGAGCGAAGGGCTCAGCATATCGCTCAAGGCCCCTGGAAGTTGAATGAGGCCGGCAACATGCAGAGGCAGTTTCGTTTCAGTGTTAATTACACCACGAGACTAGGTAGACCGAGGGCGGAAGAGGTCGTTGATGAACAAACGATCGAATTATTTAGCGACCATGTTACATATGTTGTCACGCATGTCAAGACTCCATGGCATCTGCCTCATGCGCATGGTTTTAAGTTAGTTACCAAGATCGTCATTACTCACGTCGCCAAATCGAAATGCAAACTAGCTATCTTTACAAAGGTAGTATGGACAAAGCCACCGGCCCTTGCAAAGAATATGGTCGAGCGACAAGCCCTTGACGATGCGGGCCAGGACGCCGAAGAGCTAGCCGAGGTCGCGACAGACCAAGTCCGCAAACTTGGCCACCATAGCCGTACTAAGAGGGCTATCCAAGTTTATGGAAATGTTGGGCAGCAGACGCAGGTCCTCGTCTTCACACCCGGAGAGGCCGACATGTCAAAGAAGGCGCAAATCAACCCACGCACACTGGGCCAGATGCTACTCGAGACTATAAGATCCTTCGCCGATAGTGTTGCGTCGTCATTAATGATGTGGGCATTCGCGGCTGTAAAGAAACTGTGGGATGTTATCACAGCGCAGTGGATCCTCCTTGCGCTGCTCGGCTTCAGCGTGCTCACAAACATCGTGTTCTCATCTCAAAGCACGTCCACGTGGTGGAGCGAACGGCGCGCGGCAAGCTTCATGAATCGAATCGGCGTAAGTCCGAACGTGGTCATGAGCAAGGCTATTTACATAGCAGACCTAGACGAAGCAGCCCGAAGCTCTGTCGCCTTACCCTCCTGGCCCCAGGATAGTTATTGCTACGCGACGTTCCAGTCCATCGCTAATACTAGCGACGTCGACGCGCCGTACGAGTACGCGGCTTCGGCACTGAGCTGGAGTTCGAGCCGCGCAACGGCAAGGAGGCTAAGACAGACGAGACAGAAGCTAGGGTCTTATAGACATGACTTGCTGGTCGCCATGCGCACGGTCAACAGTGTCGAGCGCGAGATGATGCACGCCGAGTGGGAGAATTGGCTCTTAGATGAGAACCACAGGTGCGAACAAGTCGAGGCTGTGCTGGCGGCGTGGAATACCTCGGGCGATAGTAATATCAAGAGAGAAATACTGGGAGGCCAGAAAGTACTCCAGAACGGTGGCGACAAGGATAAAGGCAAGGAGACGAACGGGGACGAGAAGGAGAAAGAAGAAGCCAAGCGCAGGAACCTACAGCTCTGGCATGAGGAGTACTGTGGTAGTTGCAAGGCCGATCGTGAGGCGCTGATACAAGAGAGGGAGAGGGAGAGCTTGGCGAGAGCTGTGCTGCTGTAAATGGAGAGAGATTGATGATCCTGGAGAACAAATGGAAAGGGAGGAAGAAAGACAGAACATACATAGGTTACGAAGAAGGGCAAGCAATATATGTGTGTATAAGGGAATATAAGTTGAGGAGAGCTTCTCACGGAGCAAGGGCAGTATAGATATTTGAATAAGAAGAGGAAAAGCCTGTACATTCATATGCATGGAGCACTTCGGGATATTGTTTATTGGTAGTAGAGGGCACAGGTGTGTAAATTTTAATCCCATATGAATGAATACCCAAAGTTAATTCAGCATTATTATCTAATCAAAAAAAAAAAAAAAAAAAAAAAAAAAAAAAGGTCCTAAGGGCGTTGCTGGATTCCTCGTCTTTCAAAGAATTCCATCCACAACCTTAAAAATAAATAAAAAGAAGAACACCAAGAGTGGTGAAAAAAAGAAGTGCTCAGTATGAGGCTTGAACTCATGACCTTCGCATTTACTTAACATGTCCCATGAAGGAGATATTAGTACGACGCTCTGACCAACTGAGCTAACCGAGCTTTGATTTGGCTGTTTTCAACCAATCGGTGGTTTGGTCCGATGTTTGACCGTTCGCTTCTCTACTCCTATAACGGTGTGATCACGTTAGGTAGTGTGTGTAGATTGATTTGTACCTGGCATACGATTTCGATGGGATGGTTAAGAACTCACACATCTCCGACAGCAGCAAGTGCTAGATCTCCAATCAAGATACCCTAGTAAAGCCTTCCATATTGATTGATGACTTGTCCTTATAGTGGGTTAGTTAATTGTAGAATAATTGTAGAATTCCCTATTTCCTACTCCGCTACCCCTTTTTGCGTCCGACCCCAAAAGTCATCACTTTCATGCCACAACTGCAACTTTAACTTCTTACTTCCGTAGTAACAACAAGAACTGAAACATAGACACTCCATTATATCTCCAAATATGCAAATGAAACCACCCCTCAATGGCCCTATTAAGGGAAAATACATGAAAATAGGTCGGTATGGCTCCTAAATTGTCATGCCGGTGATGTTTGCCCTTATTGGACAACCGCATGCGGACGAGTAAGTCATCGAGGTATCTGACTTGTTCATTAAACTAAGGGTGATATTCGGTTGAGAAAACATGTTTGTTATCGTGGGAGTTGGAAAGTTCCTGAGTTAGAAGGTGTTAGTTCATCCTAATACCTTAGGTACCCAAGAGTCTTTTCGTCGTACTTGATATCTTTGTACATGTGTGTGAGCGAGAGACTGAAATTATGCAAATCAAAGACGTCCACAAATTTGAATTGGAAGAGTTCTGCCTTGTCATCTTTGCAGATGACGTAGTCCGTGCTGTAGTTGTTCGTTGGACCCTTAGCTTGGGTGATGCCGTCCCATTGCCAATGATTCTCACAACTGCAAGATTGCTGAGCATTAGGATCGTCCCAGTTAACTAAAATGAATTATGAGCCATGTATACAATCAATTTTAGATGGTTTCTAAGATAATCTCAACTAACTCACACTTGATTGAACAGTCAAATAACAGAGAGTCGACATTCTCCTTTTCGCATTCGACACACATGTCTGTCAGGTTGAAAGGGTCGAGATCGAATTGTGCCAACCCCCAGGGCTTATTAGCCATACTCGTATCCCGATAATTGATGGTATCTCCGTGGATTAGGGGTTGGGAAACTGCGGATACGAGAACCAGAGCAAAAATGATTAGAAGCTGCATTGTTGGCTGATCCAGAACGACGCAAAGTAAAAGAGCCTATCATACAATTTCATAAGATATATTCGAGTGAAAATAGTAATAAAACCGTCTCGGCGCGATATCGGTTGTTTTTTAAACATGAAATCCGCCTATGGGGGATTAAGCACTCGGGTCTCAAGATATTTATACTGTTAACTCACTTCACCCTTTGCTCACAAACGGTCCCATCACGTCATTAATGCGTCACATCTAGATACCTCGTACAGGGTCTCCAGTCCAAGGGGGGCCACAAGATAGACATGTAGGTAACCGACATCCGGCGTGGATGAGTCGTACACGCATGAAAAGATCGGTTATCTAGCTCAACGTCTCCTCATATGCAGGTTCTCGATCTGTGTGTGTTGAACGGGAAGGTCTTATCTTAGTATTTATGGTCGTTCATGTACTTCTCGGAACATTCACGGTCAGACCTAAGGAAGATCATACTGGCTTAGCTCCAGTGACGAAAGGGTGGCTTGAAAGTTGAAAGTTGTCGTCATCAGATCACTGCCATTCATTCTCGAGATGTCACGATTTCTAAATATAAACCCCGTCCCGAAAAGATGTAGCTCGAAAAGGGCCAGTAAATCTGGACACCATCAATCGCATTGCAGCGTAGAATATGGACCAACATGAGCAGATTAGCCTCACTTAACAGGCAGACATAATCAAATGTACCAGCACTAGGCATAAGACGAAGCAAGGTGTATACAAGAAGTCTCTACTTTACGTAGTCAAATCAATTTGCACCGTCTTTACTCTTTACTCTTGTAATATGGACAGGGGATAGATAATAGAGATGTTCGGGGAAGCAAGTTGCCGTTTATTCGTACGCTAAGTGACACGGATATTCGGCCACACGCTGCTAAACGTTGCCTTCTGTAACCCGAGATCTTCATTTTATTACAGGAGCGGTCAAGCATTCTATTTTTGCTCCTTGCGCCATACTAATCCGGCAGTGAGAGTCATCTACCCGCCCTATTCCGTGTTCTATTTAAACCTACAGCTGTACTCTATATCATGCGGGATCTATGTAGCTAGCCTTCCTGCACCGACTGCCCCAGAAGAAGGCTATAGCTCTTGTCCTCCCAAAACATTCACCAAGAAAAGTCTTCGAGCTCCTCTCAACTTGACGTACTTTAAGCACCTAAAACTTTGCCAATTGGTGCTCTTGCACATAACCCCTGACTCTCTATTGGTATATTGAATAGGGGACTACTCATTTCGATATCTCCGACTACACTGTAAGGGCCTATCTGGGGGGCACTGTTCCAGTGATATGATTATGTGGTTCCCCTGCCCCAGACCACCGTATGCGAAGTTCGTTTCGTCTGGCTGATATGGAGGCTTAGATAGTTGGTGCTGTATTAACCGTCCTATACAACATAGCTAACTGATACGACATAGCTAGCATGCAGGTGTCAGTCAGTATTCTCCCGCTTATTTATCTCGTCATCGCTATCCGAAGTTGCCTGAAAGCAAGTCAGGGCTATAAAGTAGGGAGGAAAAGGAGAAGCGACAATTTCACCGGGCCAGAAGAGAGAAGTAGGAGTGACTCAGGAAGTACAAGCTAGAAGAGATCTAAAAATGAAGGGAAAAAAAATAAATGAAGGCCTAATAGATATCACTTTGCGGTGGGTGCGGATTGAACGCACGACTTTCAGATTTTCATGATTGAAGTTGGAACTTCAGTCTGACACTCTCCCAACTGAGTTACCCCCGCTTGGATGACCAGGACTGGATGAAAGATACGATGGTCAAATCATATCTATAAGCCGCATGTTTGTGTTCTCTCGGCTTGCGGCTCTGTTCTCGGCTCTTTAGGGCTATACCATGCCTTAGTGTTGCGGGTCTTCTTATTAGACTATCCATCTGTCTGGAAAAGACGCACTGCCTGATTCTAGCTCAAGAAAAGCTGAACCAGGCAGTATCATTCTTTTTTTTTCCCCATATATTACTAGAAGCTTTCGTCTCTAAACTACCTACCCATGCTTAGATACCAGGTATGTAGGTTTAGAAAAGACATGGCTCGTGAGATAAGCATCATGGCGACTTCGATGTTCTTGAGCCATTGTTGATCTCGAGAGCCATACTAGCTTATGTAATAAGTCATAATTTGAAATATAATGGTACAATACTCCAATATAACGCCATGCTTTTCCCAAGCCATGTTCCTCGTTAGTTACTTCGGTCTTTCCGTAGGTTATTCTGTATAACTCCACGGTCTGCCACTATCTACATCGAATTTAACCACCTTCATGCTTGGGTATATACTGCCCATCAAGCTCCCGCCCCTTCCATCCCGAGTCTAATTCGTGAGGCTCTGGGACGCCAAGTTCATATCTTTGAGGAGTCCTGTGGGAATGGCTCCTACTACCAAACGTCCCGCCAGTGGAGTCATGCTGAGATTGCAAATAGCCGGTGCTAGGTGAAATTGGGAGCTCCTTATCCCAGTGTGCTGGCTGGTTTCCTTGCCGAGGCGGGAATCGACCAGAGACATCAGAAGAGGCCTGGGCAGTCTTCTTCCGACGATATTGCTGGACTAGAAATATTATAGCGAGTAGAATAGCAATCAAACCCACGATGCTGCCAACCACAATTCCTGCTATGGTACCCCCTGAAAGACTCGAGGACGGTGAAGACGGTGAAGACGGTGACTAGGTGTGTACTCTTAGTAATATATCCATACCTTTATAGGCAGTTGCTGGTTCCGCGAACTCACATTGTCATCTGCCACCACTTGGAATCCGTCTATAGGATGTGCGTAGGCTTGGTCTGCGGTATAAAAACATGTCGTGTCAGCGTTTTTATCTTTCGTTTCTAGAAACTAAGGTCTAATATGCCAGAATGACATGTTTTTATTCTCACCAGTAGCTGATGCGATCCAGGTCGCCGTGGCCGTAACGCTCGCGGTATCGTACGCCGTCACCTTGACAGTCTGGCCGGCCTGGAAATTACTGTAACAAGTGCCTCCGTATGCAGGTCGGTTGGAGTCTACCACCGTGTCAGGGAGGTGAAGTTGAAAGCCACTGCAGCCACGGTTAGATTCGGTCGTATGGTAATTGACTCTCGGACGCTTTATATCATCCTATATATATGTAGCTTATGGGTATAATTTCACTCACGAAGCGCAACAGGCCATATATCCCTTCGTCCACGTCGTTAATGCCACCCAACCCTCGGGGCACACTAACGGAGAGAACATAGGAACGATAGAACTGGAAGCATTGTATACCTATTACCTGTTAGCAACTCTTACTAGTGCACCCAAGTCTTCTTATATGTCACTATCACTAAAAGTTCGTTTTATATCTCAGATCTACGAATATAGGATCTTAGGAGTATCGAAGAAAGGAAATCATTCCATTACATACTACTAATACGTTAGCATATCTTGCAAGCTAAACTCAAGCCCATCTTATCCAGATATTGTACTAACCACTTGTGTATCCGGCTATGAAATCTGATGGATAACAATCACTGAACTTCGAACCAGGCACCGGCTGAGGCTCGTTCAACCATATTTGATTGCCTGGCGAAGAGAGCCGGGTGAGGTGCATCTCGCCACATGATGCCGGCGGTTTGAACGGTGTCGTGAGAGGTTTTACAGTGAGAGTAAAGACAGAAACCGACGGTGTTGTCGTCGCAGCTGGGTTCACAACCACCGAGGTTCCTAACGAGCTCACCCCCAGAGTAGTAGAGGTTGCCATCGTGGCATGGAAATACTACTTAGTAGTAACCGACAGAAGAGAAGAAGGCTCGTCGAAAGGACGACGGCGAGAAGAGTAGAGGATTTG